AAACGAATTAAGCCCTGAACATGAAGAAACTGAACGCCTTCACAAATAAAGCCCACCTATACCTTTTCCTACACAAATTTTATGCCAAGCGAGAAGCATCCCAGGTGCCATGTCGACCGTTTAGTGAAGCGTGCCATAGTCACCGTTCGTAATACCATTCGGCACAGCCTGCAAACTAATCTTCTTGAAGTTCTTCACCAAATCATCTCCCTTTCCTTTCACGTCCTTGGCCTGTTCCACGTGGCTAGTCTGCATCGGCGAGTCGACGACCGTATCCTCGGAATCATCCACTTCTTCTGCTTCTTCCTCCTGCGCGCCAGCTTTCGCGTCGCCCTCAACCTCCTCACTCTCATCATCGGCATGTTCTTCCTCGGCATCAATCAGCTCTTCAGCCTCTGCCGGGTCATCGCGAGAATCAGGCACGACTTCCTCATCCAGTCTCCAGTCCTGGATAGCCTTGATGATGTCCACAGCGAGCTGGCCGTTCTTCCTCAATGCCTTGTCCCAATGCGCGGGGATGCCCTTCTCCAAGACCATGAGTCTAGCCACGGCATGTACAAGCATGTGGCGCATAGGACTTCCATCCTCGGTATTCGCGTAGATATATTGCACTCTCCTCAAACCAGGATACGTGTCTGAGTACTTGTACCACTCTCGTACAACTTGCAAGACATCGGCGACCAACGACGAAATCTGCAGCTTCTCGGACAAGAGATAGAGGTCGAAGAGGACAGAGAGATCGGCCTCTTCGCGCGGCACGGGGAGCGAGGTGCTGTAGAGCCAGCCGACGAAGACTTTGAACGTTGCGTCTTCTTCTTCCGGAAGCCCAAAGTGTGACGTTGTGTTTCCTTTTTTGTAGAAGATTTTGCGGAAGAAGGGCGAATGGTGGCACAGGAGCTTTTCGTGGAGGATCCAGTGCGTGTTCTCGGGGCCGACGTAGATGTCGACCATGGACCGGGATAGGAGCCTGGGGTTTGTTAATTATATATTGATGGGTATGAGGGTGGATAGGCATACTCATTGAGCGGCTTCTCTTGAGGTGCGGACATGATGACGATGTGATATGGTGATAATCCTCGAGAGGTGAAAGTATTACAACTGATCTTCCAACTGGGATGAAAGATAACAACGAACTGAACCCTGCAAACTCTGCGAAGCGCCCAAACTCAATGGAAAGCGTAAAGTAAAGAAAAAATGGAAGCAAAGTGGCCGTGTCGACCTAAAAAGCAGGACGGAGGCTGGGTACGACCATGAGCAGCATGACGTCAAGTCGACATTTCTGGCAGAACAACCCTGCTTGAGACCACATCCCCACCTAGCGCACTGAACTAGGCGGGGGCCGCGTCGATCAGATCACCAATTGCCATGCGCATGAATGCGATGGGTCTTTGGCGTGCATGAAATCTTCTCGATGGTTGGTGCTGTCGTTGCGGGTGGTTGGTGGTGTGCTGAGTTGGGATGGTATTAGCCGCGACGTGCGCCTCAGGCAAGATACACTGTCACATGCTCCGCCCAAGATCATTCAATGTTAACCATGAAGTACAAGTACGGAAAGTTCAGGAGAATAATTTGAATTGAATCGAAAGGGTATATTGCATCATAGGAACCTATTCGCACACCTTTGTCTTCAGACTGCGCGACGCTCCGCAGGCATGTTCTTGCGCTCTTTGGCAGTGGCCTTCTTGCGGCGTCGTTCGATTGCCCTGTCGCGATCCTTCGACTTCAGGTTCTGGAAGCGGTCGATCAATGCGAGCTGCTTCTGGTCCGACTTCTTCAAGTAAAACGGCTGCTTTCCCTGCTTGACCAACTCCTTCTCCTTCTTCTTGTGCTCTCGAAGAACTTCCTGTTGCTTGTCCTTCCTCTCCTGTGTCTTTTGCTGAGACTCCATGGACGTAAGCTTCTTCTTCAGTTTCTCTTTGTCTGCCTCGTTCTTCGTCTTCTTGATCGCCTCCCGCAACTCTGCCATTTCAGACTTTTTGTACTCGTCTAGGAAGGCGTAGCGTTTCTTAACCGCATTCTCGTCGAGGCGCGGCCCAGAGACGGCGTCGAAGCGAGGATCGCGTGCGGTTGACTTCTTTACATCGACCACCTGGCGCTTTCGCGAAACTGCTTTCTTGCTTGACTGTACAGCCGGAGCATGCTTACTCGATCGTGCGCGCGGGGCTGTGTCTGCGTCCGAGTCCGAAGAGGCTTCGTCTTCGTCGCTCTCAACGCCGTCTCGAGCGCGAGCTACTTGACTTTTGTTGGTCTTCGCCTTCTTGCTGGCTGGAGCACCTTGCGCCGTCCTCGCAGCCTTGATCTCCTGCAGCCGTTGCCTCAATGCCTGGAGCTTATCGTCTTGCGACTTGGACGTCTCTTCGCCTCGTTTTCGCTTGCGACTCGCTAATTGCTGTTTCGACAATGCGTCCTGTGCTTTTGCAAGTGCGCCAAAAGAGACCTGGCTCATCTGTGCCTGAACACCTTCGTCGCTGTCTTCCCCCTCTTCTTCCTCCCCATCCTCCTCTTCGCCCGAGCTCAAAACTGCCGCGACGTCGGCTCCAGTATCGATGACAGATGGGGACGTTGACCGGTCGGTGACTTCGTAGTACTCTTCATCATCCGAACTTTCGTCCAGCGCCCGTAGCTTGCGGTCAAGCTTCGAAGAGAGCGGCATTTCAATATTTAGCCTTGTCGAAGAGCTCAGAATCGTGTGCAAGAGGTGATGGTGACGGCGGAAAGCGCATTCAAGGGTTGATGGAGTTCGTATCGACAGCGAATCTCAAAAGTTTCCTAGCTTTTTGGTTGCCCCACATTTTAAGCCTGTCGGCGAAGCGTTTTTCCGTCCTTTCCATGTGCCTCGCAACCAGACTAATGGAAATCGCCTTCACCTCTACTTGTATGCCACGTGCAAACTCACTCCTTAGCCGTACTACTTGTAGACGACTCTCTCCAGGCTTTTTCAACGCCTTCCTCCCATTCCCACATGACACACACACTTCGTTCACTTCGGTAGGTACACCCGACAGCCGACAAGAATACCACTAATTGTCTCTAAGAGCGCGGACTCGAAGACCACCAACATGACGGGCGATGACCAAAACCAGCGTCCTGTGGCTGACAGTTCTCCCAACGCGATTCCCAGGCCAGCTTTTAACCCGCCTTCCAACCCGCCTTCCAACCCACCTTCCAACCCACCTTCCAACCCGTCTTTCAACCTGCCTTCCAACCTACCGCCATTCCCGCCACCATTCTTGCCTCCATTCCCCCCGCCGTTCCCCCCGCCTTTCCTGCCTTCCAATCTGCCGCCATTCCCTCCGCCAGCAGCATGGCAGCAATGGTTCCACAACCAGCAGATCAAGCAGGCCGGTGGATCCCAGCACCCTGTGTTTGCCCCTCTGCCAGACGTGCACCCGTTTAGAAGTCACCAGGGTCAGGGCTTTCCGCCCTTCAACGTTCAGGCGCAGTACGGACCCACAAACAGATCAATAGGATCTTGCGTGTTAACTCCAAACCCAGGACTTTCGTACACGGCATGAACTATGGTCAGCATCCAGGCCAAGTAGAGTCCATGGGAATACAACAGCAAGTCGGGTATGGAATACTCCACGAACAAACCGGCCAATAGCTTCCGGGCTAACAAGTCTTCTAGGGTACCCGTACCGCCAACCGGCAATGTTGCGACGACTTTTCAAGGGAAATATGAGCATCCAAAGATAATGCTACCCGCTCCCAATCCATCCCCTGCCTATCTGACACAAGCCATGGGTCAACCTACGGTTGTTATCCCCTCTACCCAGAAATTAGTCATTCTTGACTTGAATGGAACTCTTCTGTACCGTCGCAACCGTAAGCAGCCGAGGCAGATGATTGGTCGACCGTTCCTGCCCGAGTTCTTGGACTACCTATTCAGTAACTTTTCTGTTATGGTATGGTCAAGTGCTCGGCCGCATAACGTCCAAGCTCTCGTCGAGGTAGGCTTGGGGAAGCATCAGGATGCGCTCGTAGCGTGCTGGGCAAGGGACAAGCTGGGATTATCCTCTAAACACTACAACATGAACGTCCAATGCTACAAGAATCTTGAACGGGTATGGGAAGATCAGCTATTTCAGGGATTTGACCAGCGCAACACGATCCTCATCGATGATTCCGCTTTGAAGGCTAGCGCCCAGCCCTTCAACCTGCTGGAAATACCGGAGTTTAAGGGCCAAGTAACCGAGCAAGACGTTCTGGGAGAGGTGGCCGGCTATCTTGAGCTTCTCAAGATGCAGGAGGATGTGTCCAAGTTCATCTTCAGGACGCCGTTCAAAGCCGACGGTACCTGGACGTACGACTGGGAGACCCTCGCACCTGCCACGGAGACTAAGCCGGACGGCGGAAAATTGAATCCCTTCATTGTTGGGGATTAGGATGGTGATAGCGTGACTGTCATATTGGAGATGGAATTGTGTGCAGTCTTGGGTCAAATGTCCAGCAACTCTTGCCTTAGCTTTCGCCTCGATAATGCATCTACGGGACTCCAACTCAGATATTGCGCAGAGGCATGGAGTTCCAGGAAATTTATGGATGGGTGGATGGATGGGTTTTTCTTCTCATGATACCCCATTTACAGGAGTGGGATAGGCAGAGTGGCACCTCTCGCCCATGCTAGCGTTGACAGACGCCTGATGATGACCAGCTGTGTCAGGGTGGGTATGCTATTAGACTAATACGATTGCGACTCTTCTCAAACTTATCGCTCCTCGCTGTTCTCCCCTCGTTTGGTGCTGTCATGTATGTGCCACTGTTGCCTACTCATGCTCTGTAGTGTGTAGGACTTCTTACAGAAACCTTTCGTTGGATCTACCGAGAACAAGAAGAGAAAACTGTATTGTTGTCGTCGCTTTCAACATTAGTGTTCGTCATCTCCACCCGTCGGCTCGATCCCCATATCCATATCCGCATCCACACATCTCGCCTCTCCCGACCCGACACCATCGCGACAAAATGACAACCGCACAACCGGTAAAAAAGAATTAGGTCTATCGTCAGTAAGAGGGTTGAACTATTGGCCTTGGCGTTTACAAGACAAAGCCCATTAGCACCACGCTCTAACCAACTGACCTAACCGACCGGTGAATTCATGTGATTGGCTGATTGATGGAGAAATTTTGGCTTAAATGTGTGACATCTGTATGTATGTTGAATTGCTATGGATGGAGAAACTTTTGAGATACTAAAGGGTGAATTAGGTGCTAAATGGTTAGTTGGGGGGTTCGGTGAGCGGGAATGGGACTCGGTGAAAATTTTCGAACCGATGTGAAGAAGGGTGAGTCCCTTTACTTTAGCACACCGAAGCAACCCGTCTGGACGAATTATATGCATAGATTGGATAGATAGATGAATTCTTACTTTCGAAGCTTCTCGCGAGATACACGTTTCATCGAACTTGAAGTGCTTTCTCTTTCAGACACCTTCAACAGAGTGCTTATAAAATCTCACCTTAATCGACTAGAGGACATCAACGCTGATTACCTTAGGTGAGTAGATCTATGTGTGCTTGGTGATCGCTTTCCTTTCCTTTATTTACTACGTAGAACGACAATTTTAGAAATCTATTCAGGCAGTACTCCGTTTCGTTATATTAGGTAGTTCGCGAACTCAAGCATATTTAACTTGAATCTCTTTCCCTTGGGTCACGTTCTTGCAATGATTTGATTCAAAAAAGATAGGCTTTATACGCAAAAACCATCCCTACGACGAGCTAGGTAGGTAAGCGACGATCCCATCAACGCAGGTGGTAGTCACAGCTACTCGACTCTCAGTCAAGGGAGCCACGCTTTGTCGCAAACGTCATCGTTTTAACGTGTAAGGTCTTCATCCGGATGGGATGCTTTCGTATGGACCCTACTGACATGAGATGCTACCATGGTACCCGGAATCATGTGTTTAAGCCCGCCATTTCTCGCCTCTTCTCTTTCACACCACACTTCCTTGCATTCACCTAAAACAACAGATAAATAGGAGAATGGCGGCCTTGAATAAAAACATGCATTGCCGAAATACATGGTGTGCTTTGGAAGCGATTGAAAAGATATAATATCGACCGACCATGTGCTTTCGCTCGCTCATGTCCGAGGCGGTTATTGTCCAGGTTATGTAAAATGCGTGGAATCTGTTATATTTGGAGGGAGATACCATGTCAGGGTTAGTAATGATGGCCATCATGAGCACAAAGCCTTTGATATGCACCTTTGAGCTTTCAATAAGAAAGTATATGACGCTTAAGTGTCTATTTATTTTCCTCCTCAACGCAATATATGTGCGGTTTTAACTCTGAAATTGGTATACCAAGGGAACGATGTTAATCTTGGTTAAAGATCCCATGCAAACTTAGAAAAAAATTGAGACTATGGCTAACGTTGAGCCGAGTGTTCAATGGCTGTTTCCATACCCAAAGTCATTTCCACAGACAGCAGGTCATTAGAAAGCAAAAACACATTCGGCACACATAAAGCTTAAAGAGATAAATTGGGTATAAACCCTGCTTGATCGTGCGAGCTTTCTCTCTGCACCGATGGCCAGTTGATCATCTTTCTAACCAGGGTGCGATTGTGTAATGAGAGATGAGGTTCCTACTTACAGCTAATGTTGGCCATTTGAATGAGCTTCCTCTTGACGATTAATAGTCTTCCTGTCGTCCGTGGTAAGGTTTTGATGATTGCTATCTTCATTGGTGCGTCCATGACTCGTGAGAAGAGAACTGCCTGCAAGTTGGCTACTGTCAAGCTCATGACCCATCACGTCACAGCACCTCACCAGATCAGACAGGAAAAAGGTCTGCATCAGAAACTTTTCGACTAGGTGTTGCGAGAACCACTCCGCAAGAGAGGCAAAATGTGTACAGAGGGGTTCAGCAAGGGCCCTTGAACGCCCCGCCAATCATATCTCCCCAAATGACAACCCCACCAGCACCAGCCCTACGTCACGTCCGCTCTAGAGCTCCTGTTCCCTCACCTATTTGAACTACCTGCGAGAAAGAACAATGCGCCACCACTCTTGCTCTTTCTCTTGCATTCCTTTATATGCCTCCGGTGCGCTTTAAACTTCGAGGACCCTGCTCTTCCGCACGCCCAGCTATATTGAATTCGATAACTGCGAGAGTCGCAATTCCGACGCCCCCACCACGATCGACAAGTACCCCGCGAGTGCAGGTGTTGAGGTTCCACACCCAGATCTTGAGGATGGATGGGCGAGACGATGCGAGGGTGTCGGCCGAAGTTGCTTCGGGTGATGATTTGAAACTGGTGAATAGGTTGAACGAGAGTAGGAGTCCATATGTGAGTAGTGAACGAAGATGGGAATCCCGGTATGCGCCAAAGCTGACAGCATTTGCCTGAAGGTTCGCGGCCACATGAACAATCCCGTCGCCTGGCAGATGTGGGGTCCGGAAGCCCTCGAGCTTGCGAAGAAGTCCAACAGGTTGATCTTCATCAGTATCGGATACGCTGCATGCCACTGGTGCCATGTTATGGAGCGCGAATCGTTCGAGAATGCCGAGGTGGCTGCATTGCTCAATAGCCACTTCATTCCTATCAAGATCGACCGTGAGGAACGTCCGGATGTCGACCGCATATACATGAACTATGTTCAGGCTACGACTGGGTCGGGTGGATGGCCGCTGAATGTGTTCATTACACCAGACTTGGAGCCCATCTTTGGAGGAACGTACTGGCCAGGTCCTGGATCAACAACAGTCATGGGCGACCATATCGGATTTGTGGGCATCTTGAAGAAAATCAGGGACGTTTGGACGAATCAACGGCAGAGATGTCTCGAGTCAGCGAAGGACATTACAGCACAGTTGCGGGAATTTGCCCAGGATGGCAACATTAGTAGGAAGGAGGGTGCTGAAGTCGATGCCCTGGACCTCGAGCTATTAGATGAGGCGTACGAGCACTTTGCAGCCAAATACGATGAACAGTTTGCGGGTTTTGGAAGTGCTCCGAAGTTTCCAACACCGACCAATTTGAGCTTTTTACTGAAACTCGCTTCATACCCCAGCGCTGTGACCGACGTTGTGGGGGCGATGGAATGTACAAAGGCAAAAGATATGGTACTGGCGACTCTCACGGCAATGAACAAGGGTGGTATACACGATCAAATTGGAAATGGATTTGCAAGATACTCGGTCACGCGGGACTGGAGTCTCCCACACTTCGAGAAGATGTAAGTTGTTCAACTATACTACGAAGTGACACTGACATCTTCTAGGCTATACGACCAAGCACAACTACTGCCAGTCTATCTCGATGCGTACCTTTTGACTCGGAACCCTTCCCATCTTTCCGCTGTTCATGATATTGCCACATATCTCACCTCACCACCCATGCACTCCAGCACCGGCGGCTTCTTCTCCGCCGAAGATGCCGACTCTCTCTATCGGCCCACCGACAAGGAGAAGCGTGAAGGCGCTTTCTACGTCTGGACTCTTAAGGAGTTCCAAGCGATACTAGGCGACCGAGACGCCGATATTCTAGCGCGATATTACAACGTGAAAGATGAAGGAAATGTCAGCCCCGAGCACGATGCGCATGACGAACTCATCAACCAGAATGTATTAGCCATCAGCACTACACCCGCTGACCTCGCAAAAGAATTTGCACTCTCAGTCGAAGAAGTCGAATCGATACTCACAGAAGGCCGTCAAAAGTTACTTTCACACCGAGAGAAAGAGCGACCACGACCAGCTCTTGACGATAAAATAGTTGTGTCATGGAACGGCCTCGCCATCGGTGCGCTGGCCCGCGTTGCATCCGTACTCTCTTCATCTGACCCTTCAAAGTCAAAAGAGTACCTCAAAGCCGCCGAGCAAGCAGCTGCATTCATCAAGGAGGAGCTTTATAACTCTCAATCACACACGTTACTCCGCGTATATCGCGAAGGTCCCGGCGACGTCCCCGGATTTGCAGACGACTATGCCTATCTCATCTCCGGGCTGATCGATCTCTATGAAGCTACCTTCAACGACAGTTACCTTGCCTGGGCCGATTCGCTCCAAAAGACGCAGATCGATCTTTTCTGGGACAAAGAGCATCTAGGCTTCTTCTCGACGCCCGAGAATCAAACAGACCTCATCATGCGCTTGAAAGACGGTATGGATAATGCTGAACCGGGCACCAACGGTGTGTCAGCCCGGAACCTCGACCGCTTGAGCGCTTTACTTGAGGATGAAGAATACAGCAAGAAAGCGAGAGAGATCACTCATGCGTTTGAGGCTGAAATTATGCAACATCCGTTCTTGTTTCCGGGTATGATGGATGCAGTCGTTGCGGGGAAGTTTGGTATTAAGCACAGTGTTGTTACGGGAGAGGGTACTAGGGTGGAAGAGTGGTTGACGAGGTACAAGGAACGACCAGCAGGCCTGGGAACTGTCAGTCGCATTGGAAATGGTATAGGGGAGTGGTTGAGGGAGAGAAACAGTTTGGTGAAGAGTATGGATGTTACAAAGGAAGGTGTTATGGTTTGCGAACAGGGTGCTTGTAGGGAGGAGTTGGGATTGGGATTGGGAGGGTTGGGGGAGGCGATCAGGGAGGTTAGCGAGCGTTGAAGGCTGTAATGATTATGAGATGGACGTGCGGGGGAAATCGGGGACGGCGTATGGTAATGACTGGCGACATCCCTCTTCGATTATGCCGCTCGTTGATGCATTGATGACTGGTGGGCGTTATATAGGGTTGATGATCAATCAAATTTTCTATTCCATGACCAGCCTCGTTTCTGGTCGTAGTTAATTCTGCAATTCAAGTTGGAGACGAGAACACGCGTGGGGGAGGACATGACGCGTTTCCACCTTCATAAAGTCGGGCGCAGCTTGAGGCGGAAGGTGCATGGGGCTGGGGTTTCACTTGTAAGCCGTTCCCAAGGCTAACACTACCACACCTTATTCACACTAACCCAGATGCAATACATTATTACAAGGGTAGTTCTGTGACCTTTATCCAAGGTCCTTAGGATACCCCAGTGGGGTTCAGGTCGAGTGAGGCCTACCAAGAGCGCGAATAAGACAGGGCCGCTCTGTGTGTCACTACCTGTACTTTGTCGAATAGTAATACAAATATAAAGGGTAAGACG